GAGGATAGCAACCTGGAAGGTAACTTTGTATTTAGTTAATTTAGTTGCTTTTTTTCGGTGGCTCTTTCAATTAATATGAGGATAGTTAGCTTATTAGTTTGTTTTTCCCATTATGTAACTCATAAGGATTAAACCGTGAAATTCGACATAATAAGTACTCTTTCATTCAGTTATCACTTGTTTCTATGTATGAAGATATGTCTCAATTTTCTATGCTACATTATGGAGTTGTTATTTTTAACACATTTTTTAGTGTCGGTTGAATAAACAAGGCTTTATATTGTATGGTTTCACAAATTAATACAGAAATACTATTATGTCAAAAATCTTTCTTAATAAGTTTAGATTCATAATAAATAAGTTGAATATTCTAAAAATTTTAAAATTTAAAATTTAAAATTAATTTCCTAGAAAAATTAGGTATAATTTTATTTTTTGTTTTGAAAAAAAAAAGCTACTAAATACTAAATAATGTCTTAATAACTTCTAAATGTGAGCATATTTGATTCTCTGAATAAATTTATTGCTCAGTTCTTACCATCTTTTTTTTTATTTTTAATTATTGACATTGTTGGGTTCCAAGCTTCCAATGTGAAAAGTGGAGGGTTGCATTAGATGGTCAATAACTAGCGTTAAATTTGTTGAAAAATTATGACAATTCTTTAGTGTCTTTTTTATCTGGTTTCTCATTTTTCATAGGATATTATAAACATAAATATTGGAATCTAAATCAATTCACTGTGTCTTAGAAACAATATTCATCATTTCAACTTCATAATAGTCAAATGGGATTATTTTATATTTCTTCTCAAGTTAATGTTTAAACTCGATGCAATCCTTATTCTTGTACACTTCTTTTTTTAGATTAAATATTTAGATTTCTTTTTTATTTCAACATAGGGTAGTGTTTTCCCCTTTACGTTTCTTCTTGATTTGGCTTTTTCAATCACTTTTTTGTGCATCTAACATTGCACTCACTTTTATGATGAAGCATATAATTCTTGAAAAAAAATAGAAATTGATTTCTCACCTTTAAATTAACTTTCCTCTCCATTTCTTTCTTTCCTTCATATTGTTTCTTACTCTTCATATTATATTTTGTTTCTCTTCACCTACTTTTTTATCCCTATTCCTCTCCTTTTTTTCTCCTTGGCTGCAACCCAAGAGCAGCATGTCACGGTCTAATTTATCTCAAGTCACTCATGCGGCTTTAGCTTTTTTTCTTAGCACTAAATCAGCTTAACCCTCACAATGCTTGGAATTGTAAGGACAAAACACTCTTGGAAGAATAGTAGGAAGAAGTATTGGAGAAAGAAACTTTTCACTAAGAAAGAGTGATCACAACACTTTAATGCTTGAGAACCTTGGATGATACTTGGACGTATACAAATGAGGGGGAGGGACTCCTATTTATAGTACTCTCCAATACTAAGGGAACTTTCTAGATTACATTGGGAACTTTCTAGATTGCATTAGAATGTACTAATTTCTAAATAGTTTTATTTTATTTTCTTATATACGCACATAACTTAGAATGTACTAATTTCTAAATAGTTTTATTTTATTCTCTTATATACGCACATAACTTTAGATCATTCTAGGTTATTCTTGAGTTCTCCTTGGAGTTTTTCCATCTAATATTCTCTAGAATGCGATGGAGTCTTCTAGCGTTACTTGGATTTCTCTCCTTCATTTGGTATTTTGTAGAATCTTCCATTCCATGATTCTTGTTAATTTCTTGAAGAGGGTAGAGTGTGACACTCTTCCACTTAAGCTCGCAATGCCCTCATTGCGGCTTCCACTTGATATTGTTGGTTTTATCTATTTCCATGTGTCTTCATGTCTCATTTTTTGGTCTGCCCACTTCTTCGTTTTTCTTGCAGTCTTATGTAATGTGGCTCGAGCTAAATCCCTTTGCTCGTTCCAGGATTTGTCGAATTTGAAAAAGATTGGGCTTTCTCTCTCATACCTGGTTGTAGGGGAGAGGGGTACCATGCAGCAGGGTTTCATGGCTAGCGGCTCAGTCCCTGATTCTAGCTCGGTCTGCTGATCTATCTTCTTCTTTGGTGATAGTTTGGTAATTCTGGTGATGAAACACCTTTATATTCCTCAAGGGCTGCTACGACTTCCCTTGGCATGTCTTTCATTGGATTCATCAAGAATAACCAAGTAGCTCTCCTCATCTGTGGAATGCCCTCCTTGAATTGGATGGACGGTAGTATTTTGACTTCCTGCTTGTTAGCCCTTGTTGTCGGTACTAAGCAAGTTTGTTTCTCTTCCATGATGCACATGCTATTAGTAAAGGGTATTAGGAACGCTCTTGCTTGATCCAAGAAGTTTATCCTTATAATGACTTTAAAATCATCCATTGGAATGACAGAGAAGTCTACGGTACCTGTCCACACTCCAATACTGGTCTTTACCCCTTTGGCTATTCTATGGTTTGGTCTTACTGTTGAATTGACCACCTTGATGGAGCCTCCTCTTTCCGTCATCTGCAAACCCAATCTTGCTTCTTCGGCAGAGATGAAGTTGTGAGAAGCATCCGTGTCTATCATCGCTCTTGTGGTCTTCCTGCCTATTACCACCTGCACAAAGAGTAACCCTTTTGCTTGTGGTTTTGTTGGAGTTTGCATCCCATTCAGCAGTTGTATAGACCCTACTTGTGCTGTCCATATCACCACCTTCTTTCTCCTGATGGCTTGCAAGGAGATAGTTTAGAACCTGCTTCTGAGGCCAATCCCTTACCCAATGAGGTCCTCCACAAAGGAAGCACTTATTATGCAGTTTGGTTTTGTCATTATTAAGCTTCCATTTGTCTTTTGCTTTAGATGAAGTTGATTCATGATGGTTCTCTTCCTTGTGTCGAGCCTTGTCTTCCCTACCTTTGACATAAGTACTATTCTTATCTTTAGGTTTTGTGGACTCTTTTGAGTAATCAATTAGGCTTTCAGTGACCGCAATGAAAGATAAGATCTTGCACTACGTGCTTCATAAGTTGTTTTTGCCTACTGTTGGAATCCATTCATGAAGTTGAAAAGAGCATCCTTATTTGACATGTCGGGAATTTCAATAACCAAGCTTCTGAACTCCTTAATATATTTCTAAATCGATCCCTCTTGTTTGAGCCTTCGTAATCTGGCTTTAGTCTTTTCATCCGCGTTCTCAGGGTAGAATTGTCTCTTTAGCTCCCTTACGAAGTCACCAAAGGTGGATATAGTGCACATTCCTTTTTTGATGTCTCCTCCTCTTCTTCCCTACCACAACATAACGATGTCTGAGAGATAAAGGGTTGCAAATGGAATTCTTGCATTTTCATTTGTAATAATCATCGCTCTAAAGTATTGCTCAAATCTCTATATGAAGTTGTCTACTTTGTGTTGCGAGCTCCCCCAAAACTTTTAGGTTTTGATATTTCGATGCATTTGTCTTTGAAAGTATGATTGTTTGTGGATGTCACTAGTGCCCTCTTGCATAGCGAAATGTTTTCACGCATCTCTTCCATGCTACCACATATGTCGCTCATCTCATCTTCATGGGCTCTTCGTACCTCCTGAAGCTCTCCCATCAAGCCCTCCCACATCTTAGCCATTTGGTCTCTTAAGGACTCCTCCAGTTGGAGCATCATGCCTCTGATTGTCGAATGAATTGTATTGTCTTCCTCGAGTCCATCAACCTTTTGGCCAAGATCCTCTAACTAGGCCTCCATGTCATTTATTGCCTTCACCTGAGTAAGGCGCGAATCAAAGTCGTACATGATCTCCTTGGACCTCCCATGTGGTTTGGATGCAACTGGTTCTCGTTGCTCCTAATGATCTCACCCTTTTTGAGATGATTCCACATTAGTGGCTTCAGACTCCATTACGTGTTCTCTGACGCTTTTTGGCATACCTTTGAATTGAGGTTCTAATACCAACTATCACAGACTAATTATCAAAAGTCACCCATGCGGCTTTAGCGTTTTTCATTGACACTAAATTAGTCTAACTTTCACAATGCTTAATCTTGTAAGCACAAAACACTCTTGGAAGAAAAGTAGGGAGAAGTATTGGAGAAAGAAACACTTCTCTAAGAATGAGTGATTACAACATTTGTATGCTTGGGAGTCATCTCCAAGACTAAGGGAACTTTTTAGATTATATTAGAATATACGAATTTCTAGGTAGTTTTACATTATTCTTTTATATATATACATAACCCTAGATCTTTCTAGGTTATTCTTGTGTTTTCTTGAAGTATTTCATCTAATATTCTCTAGAATGTGGTGGAGTCTTCTAGAGTTACTTGGATTTCTCTTCTTCATTTAGTCTTTGTATAATCTTTCATCCTATGCTTGTCATGTGTATTTTTTGAAGAAGATGGAGTGTAACAAGCAGATTCTTTCTGTTTTGAAGTGAGAACCAGTGAAATAATAGGAATGAAGGAATTAAACTATCTAACACACACACGCACTAATAAATAAATAAATATATAACTATACTTATATTACTAATATAAATTATATGTGATCCAGCAGATGCATGATGCTATAAATTTTATTTAAAAATAAATTAATTAAATAATTGATGTATGTTTGAACATAATATATGCTTATATATACATACAAATATATATATATACATATATATATATATATATACA